CTCTAATTACCCTAGATTTCTTCTCTCCTTCTGAAAGAATAATGGTTACTCTGTTAACTTGTTCCCTAGATGATCTGTCCAATGCTTAGAGTGTGATCAGGTCCCCCAATATTATCATAGAGCAGATGCTTCTTCTGTCACTCTGAAACAGGTTTTGTGGAAAGAGACATCCTCTTCCTTTCTTTGTCTCTGCTGGTGACTCTTCTCGCGTGAATGCACTCCAGTGGTTGGCGGACCATCTGCATTGTGGCTGTGCCATCTAGCTGCTTTTGCAGCAGCCATAGTTATTGTGGTGACTGTGGTGGGCGACCCATGTCGGGGTGCTGTTTTTGGCATGCTCCTTGGCACTGGCAGTGTGCCTGGTTGATGGGTGTGTTTGGTCCCCTTCTCCTTGTCTTGGGTCCCCTGGCAGGCCCCAAGGTGCTGCCATGTTGCTCCTGGTTGTGGGAGAGAGGTCCAGTCCCCTTATACATACCCCAGGTCTCTGGGTGGGCTCCGAGGTGCTGGCATGTTGTGCCTGGTTGTGGGAGGGTGGTCTGGTCCCCTTTTCCATGCCCTGCGTCCCTGTGTGGGGCCCAGTATGCTGGCATGGTGTGCCTGGTTGTGGGAGAGAGGTCCAGTCCCCGTATCCACGCCTCAGGTCCCCAGTGGTCCCTGAAGCACTGGCTCAGTGTGCTCGGTTGTGGGAGAGAGGCTCAGTGTGCTCGGTTGTGGGAGAGAGGTCCATTCCCCTTCTCCTTGCCTCTGGTCCCCGTGCAGGCCCCAAGGTGCTGATGTGGTGTGCCTGGTAGTGGGAGGGTGGTCTGGTTCCCTTCTCCATGCCCTGGGACTATGGGTGGGCCCTGAGGCACTGGTTTGGTGTGCCTGGTTGTGGGAGAGAGTTCCAGTCCCCTTCTCTATGCCTCAGGACTCTGGGCAGGCCCTGAGGCACTGGTGCAGAGTGCCTGGTTGTCAGAGAGAGTTCCAGTCCCCTTCTCCACTGAAGCACTGGTGCGGTGTGCCTCGTTGTGGGAGAGAGGATCATTCCCCTTCTCCTTGCCCTGGTTCCCTGGGTGGGGCCTAAAGGACTGGCTCAGTGTGCCTAGTTGTGAGAGGGTGCCTTCTCCATGCCCTGGGTCCCTGGGTGGGGCCCAAGGTGCTGGCTCAGTGTGCCTGGTTGTGGGAGAGAGGTCTAGTCC